ACATCTCACGAGTAGAAGGAAAAATGGATTCAATAAAATTTCAGCAAATTTTGGATGGTAACTTGATGCCATCTGTGAAAAAGCTGAAGTTAAAGAGAGGATGGCTTCTACAAATGGATAATGATCCTAAACACACCTCAAAATTCCACGGGGGATTACATCAAGAGGTGTAAACTGAAGGTTTTGCCATGGCCTTCACAATCTCCTGACCTCAACATCATTGAAAATCTATGGATAGACCTTAAAAGAGCCGTGCGTGACAGACAGCCCAGAAATCTCAAAGAACTGGAAGACTTTTGTAAGGAAGAATGGGCAAAGATACCTCAAACAAGGATTGAAAGACTCTTGGCTGGCTACAAAAAGCGTTTGCAAGCTGTGATACTTGCCAAAGGGGGCAGTACAAGATATTAACTCTGCAGGGTGCCCAAACTTTTGCAGACGCCATTTTTTTGTTTTCTGTTAATTTGAAAGTGTAAATGATGGAAATAAAATCTAACTTTTGTTGACAAATTATAAGAATGTCTAATCTGTAATTTGATGCCTTTTGGAGATTTTTCCATCTTTCCTTGGCTTCTTTATGCACATTAATACAAATTTTTAGCTGGGGTGCCCAAACTTTTGATCCCCACTGTATATAAACAGTACATGATTTTGCATCTACGGGTAGGGGGTGCACACGAGGCGTACGTGCGCCTTGCCGTGCCGCCATTCGCGGATGCAGCTGTCAATCACCGGTTGTTGGCTGGTGATTACTCGCTGGCGCCTGGTGATTGCTGAGGATCTCAGACAGGAGAACAAAACAGTTCTCTCCCCTGTCAGCTCCTGCACACTGCTTTGGATGGCTCTGCATAGCAGCATGCTTACAGTGAAACACCCCCCCCCCACCCCCTAGTAAAACACTCCCAGCACACGGTTAACTCTTTGATCACCCCAGATGTTAACCCCTTCCTGCCCAGTGCCATTAGTACAGTGTCGGGGCTTTTTTTTTAAGCACTGATCACTGAATTGGTGTCACTGGGGATGTCAGTGACACCAAGTCAGTTTCCCCCCCCACACTGTCAGATTGCCCGCCGCAGTCCCGCTATAAGTCACCGATCGCCGCCATTACTAGTAAAAAAAAATTTTTTTAAATCCCCGTATATATCCCGCCATTTGTAGACGCTATAACTTCCACGTAAACCAATTAATTTACACGTATCGGGATTTTTTTTTTTTTCTAGCAAAGACAGGGAGCGGAATACATTTTGGTCTAAATTTATGACAAAATTTGATTTTTTAAATTTTTTTTTACTCAACGTGTTTTATAGCAAAAGTCAAAAATATTGTTTTTTTTCTCAAAATTGTCACTTACTTTTATAGCGCAAAACTAAAAATGCATTGGCGATCAAATACCACCGAAAGCTCAATTTGTAGGGGAAAGGACATAAATTTCATCTGGGTGCAGCGTCGCATGACCGCACAATTGTCAGTTAAAGTAACGCAGCGCCGTAATGCAAAAATCGTCCTGGTCAGGAAGGGGTGGGGGGGGATATTAGTAGTGCTTACAAATGAACCAATCAGAGCCCATAAACCAGCGGGATTAAATATCCGGTTCATGAGTGGGCGCACGTTTTTGTGCAGTAGGAATTAATTAACAGAATTTTGCAGAACTTCGTACACTTCCTTCTTTATTGTTGCATTTTAAGTTCCTAAAATGGACAGTGAGGGGGTGACACCTCCTTTTTAGGCAGTTTCTAAAGATACCAGCAGTAGACATCGAAGACGCAGATTGTGCACGGCGCAGAATCGGGTTTGTCCTCAGCGTGCCATGAGGGGAGCTGGAAAGCTGGAGATGGAGCCAGGTAGGTTGTAGATGTGATCACTGGGTAGCACAGTGGCTAAATGGTTAGCACTTCCACCTGGCAGTACTAGGGTCGTTGGTTCAAATCACAACCATGACACCACCTGCCTGGAGTTTGCATGTTCTCTCTGTGCCTGCGTGGGTTTCCTCTGGGTACTCCGGTTTCCTCTCACACTCCAAAGACATGCTGGTAGGTGAATTGTCTCCTGTCTAAATTGTCCCTAGTATGTGTATGTATGGATGTGAGTTAGGGACCTCAGATTGTACGCTCCTCGGGGGCGGGGACTGATGTGAATGTACAATATATATGTAAAGCACTGAGTAAATTGGCAGTGCTATATAAGTACCTGAAATAAATAAAAATAAAATATTGAGGGGGGAAGGAATCACGAGGGGGCAAGAATAAGGTTTAGTATCCATATAGGGTGTGTAACCAATAAGATTGATTTATGTTCCTGTTATATACACCATTGAACGGCTTTTGTTTTTTCTGTTTGATTAGTGCAATTAAATTCCAGTTGATCCTGCCAGAATCCTTCTCAGCTGATATCTGCTACCTTCTCCTTTCTGCCTGTGCTGCATTCCTATTGTAACTACAGAACACCTCCCCATTGAGTTAGGATAAATTGGGGGTGTTCTGCAGTCTTGTTCTAGAGTGATATATACAGATATACACACACAGTATATAGACTAGAAGTGTTCTCACCATATTGCCACTGTGTATCCAGACTCCTAGGAGCATGCCAGTTAGTAAATAGGAACTTGGCAGTCTGCAAGGAAGAGTAGGGATTAGCCTGAGAGGGATCACTTTGACTTCGATGGCCAGAGAGGGATCACTTTGACTTCGATGGCCAGAGAGGGATCACTTTGACTTCGATGGCCAGAGAGGGATCACTTTGACTTTGATGGCCAGAGAGGGATAACTTTGATTCCGGTGGCCAGAGAGGGATCACTTTGACTTCGATGGCCAGAGAGGGATCACTTTGACTTCGATGGCCAGAGAGGGAACACTTTGATTCAGCTGGCCAGAGAGGGATCACTTTGACTCAGCTGGCCAGAGAGGGATCACTTTGACTCAGCTGGCCAGAGAGGGATCACTTTGATTCCGGTGTCCAGAGAGGGATCACTTTGACTTCGATGGCCAGAGAGGGATCACTTTGACTTTGATGGCCAGAGAGGGATAACTTTGATTCCGGTGGCCAGAGAGGGATCACTTTGACTTCGATGGCCAGAGAGGGATCACTTTGACTTCGATGGCCAGAGAGGGAACACTTTGATTCAGCTGGCCAGAGAGGGAACACTTTGACTCAGCTGGCCAGAGAGGGATCACTTTGACTCAGCTGGCCAGAGAGGGATCACTTTGATTCCGGTGTCCAGAGAGGGATCACTTTGACTTCGATGGCCAGAGAGGGATAACTTTGATTCCGGTGGCCAGAGAGGGATCACTTTGACTTTGATGGCCAGAGAGGGATCACTTTTGATTCCGGTGGCCAGAGAGGGATCACTTTGATTCCGGTGGCCAGAGAGGGATCACTTTGATTCCGGTGGCCAGAGAGGGATCACTTTGACTCAGCTGGCCAGGGAGGGATCACTTTGACTCAGCTGGCCAGAGAGGGATCACTTTGACCCAGCTGGCCAGAGAGGGATCACTTTGACTCAGCTGGCCAGAGAGGGATCACTTTGACTCAGCTGGCCAGAGAGGGATCACTTTGACTCAGCTGGCCAGAGAGGGATCACTTTGATTCCGGTGGCCAGAGAGGGATCACTTTGATTCCAGAGGCCAGAGAGGGATCACTTTGACTTTTTTTTTATAGCACAAAAAAAAAAACTGCATTGGCGATCAAATACTACTGAAAGCTAAATTTGTCACTTAAAGTAACGCAGTGCCGTAATGCAAAAATTGGCCTGGTCAGGAAGGGGGGGGGGAATCTTAGTAGTGCTTACAAATTATTATTATTATTATTATTATACAGGATTTATGGCGCCGACAGTTTGCTCAGCGCTGTGCAATATAATGGGAGACAATACAGCAACAATACAGTTCAATACAAGAGGGATAGGAGGGCCCTGATCCTTGGAGCTTACAATCTAGGAGGGAGGGGATAGTGGTACAAAAGGTAATAACTGTGGGGGATGGACTGGTTGGAAGAGTAGAAGATTCCAGTATTAGCTGAGGGTGGGATAGGCTTCCCTAAAGAGAGAGGTTTTCAGAGATCGCCTAAAAGTGAGCAGAGTAGGCGATAGTCTGATAAATTGGGGTAGAGAGTTCCAGAGGATGGGGAAACTCTGGAGAAGTCCTGGAGACGAGCATGGGAGGAGGAGACAAGGGAGATAGAGAGTAGGAGTGGAGTTTTTTGAGGAGGAGGGGATGGTCAACCATATCAAAAGCCGCAGAGAGGTCGAGTAGTAAGAGTATGGAATAGTGGCCATTGGTTGGGATGAGTACAGAGTAGTGGCCATTGGTTAGAATGAGTACAGAGTAGTGGCCATTGGTTGGGATGAGTACAGAGTAGTGGCCATTGGTTAGAATGAGTACAGAGTAGTGGCCATTGGTTGGGATGAGTACGGTGTAGTGGCCATTGGTTGGGATGAGTACGGAGTAGTGGCCATTGGTCGGGATGAGTACGGAGCAGTGGCAATTGGTTGGGATGAGTAGGGAGTAGTGGCCATTGGCTGGAATGAGTACAGAGTAGTGGCCATTGGTTGGGATGAGTAGGGAGTAATGGACATTGGTTGGGATGAGTAGGGAGTAGTGGCCATTGGTTGGGATGAGTACGGAGTAGTTGCCATTGGTTGGGATGAGTACAGAGTAGTGGCCATTGGTTGGGATGAGTACGGAGTAGTGGCCATTGGTTGGGATGAGTACGGAGTAGTGGCCATTGGTTGGGATGAGTATGGAGTAGTGGCCATTGGTTGGGATGAGTATGGAGTAGTGGCCATTGGTCGGGATGAGTACGGAGCAGTGGCAATTGGTTGGGATGAGTAGGGAGTAGTGGCCATTGGCTGGAATGAGTACAGAGTAGTGGCCATTGGTTGGGATGAGTAGGGAGTAATGGACATTGGTTGGGATGAGTAGGGAGTAGTGGCCATTGGTTGGGATGAGTACGGAGTAGTTGCCATTGGTTGGGATGAGTACAGAGTAGTGGCCATTGGTTGGGATGAGTACGGAGTAGTGGCCATTGGTTGGGATGAGTACGGAGTAGTGGCCATTGGTTGGGATGAGTATGGAGTAGTGGCCATTGGTTGGGATGAGTACGGAGTAGTGGCCATTGGTCGGGATGAGTATGGAGTAGTAGTGGCCATTGGTTGGGATGAGTAGTGGCCATTGGTTGGGATGAGTATGGAGTAGTGGCCATTGGTTGGGATGAGTATGGAGTAGTGGCCATTGGTTTTAGCAGTAAGTAAATCATTAGTGAGGTTTAGTAGGGCAGTGTCAGTGGAGTGTAGTGAACGAAAGCCAGACTGTAAAGGGTCAAGAAGGTTGATCTCAGTGAGGGAGGAGCTCAGGCGATTGTAGACTAAGCATTCTAGGAGTTTAGAGGTAAATGGCAGCAGGGAGATGGGTCTTCAGTTGTTCAGGTTGCTGGGGTCCAGGGATCGCTTTTTAAGTATGGGAGTGATGTGCGCATGCTTTAGAGGGGAGGGGAAGGCACCATTAGAGAGGGAGAGATTAAAGATATGAGTGAGGGAGCATAGGATGGAGGAGGAGGAGGGGGACCGTAGGAGTTGTGAGGGGACAGGGTCCAGGGGGTAGGTAGTGAGGCGGGCTTCTGAGAAAACCTTAGTGACCTCTTCGGTAGTAGCGAGGTCAGAAAAGGAAAGTGTTGGGGGAGGTTTAGTATAAGGTATGCTAAGTGGGATGGATGTCTGTGCAGAGGAGATGCCCCTGCAAATTGCGTCAATCTTGTTTTTGATATGATTTGAAATCTCGTGAGCAGTCAGTGAGGTACTGGGTGGAGGTGGAGAAAGTAGAGAGTTAAAAGTAGAGAAGAAACGATGAGGACTGGATGACAAGGTATAAGAGTGACAAAATAGGCTTGTTTGGCAGCATGGAGGGATGAATTGTATGTGAATAAAGCAGATTTATATTGGGTGAATGATTGGTGAGATTTGGTTTTACGCCACAATCGCTCCAGCGCACGACTATGTCATTTAAGATGTCTGGTGTGGTCAGTCTGCCAAGGTTGTAACGGTTGGGACCTGATGCTTCGTGTTGTTAGAGGAGCAAGCGAGTCTAATGCGGATGAAAGCGAACTGTTATAGACAGCAGTGGCCAGGTCAGGGCAGGACAGGGGAGAGATTCTGTCAGAGTTGGTCAGTTGCAGAGCGGAAAGGAGCCGGGTTCAATGAACCAATCAGAGCCCATAAACCAGTGGGATTAAATATCCTGTTCATGAGTGGGCCCACGTTTTTGTGCAGTAAGAATAGAAAGAATTTTACAGAACTTCGTACACTTCCTCTTTATTGTTTCATTTTAAGTTCCTAAAATGAAGGACAGTGAGGGGGTGACACCTTCTTTTTAGGACGTTTCTAAAGATACCAGCAACAGATATCGAAGACGCAGATCATGCACGGCACAGAATCGGGTTTGTCCGCAGCGTGCTATGAGGGGAGCAGAAAATCTGGAGATGGAGCCAGGTAGGTTGTAGATGTGATCACTGAGGAATATTGAGGTGGGAGGGATCACTTTGATTCCGGTGGCCAGAGAGGGATCACTTTGATTCCGGTGGCCAGAGAGGGATCACTTTGATTCCGGTGGCCAGAGAGGGATCACTTTGATTCCGGTGGCCAGAGAGGGATCACTTTGATTCCGGTGGCCAGAGTGGGATCACTTTGATTCCGGTGGCCAGGGAGGGATCACTTTGATTCCGGTGGCCAGAGAGGGATCACTTTGATTCCGGTGGCCAGAGTGGGATCACTTTGATTCCGGTGGCCAGAGAGGGATCACTTTGATTCCGGTGGCCAGAGTGGGATCACTTTGATTCCGGTGGCCAGGGAGGGATCACTTTGATTCCGGTGGCCAGGGGGAGGGATCACTTTGATTCCGGTGGCCAGAGTGGGATCACTTTGATTCCGGTGGCCAGAGAGGGATCACTTTGATTCTGGTGGCCAGAGTGGGATCACTTTGATTCCGGTGGCCAGAGAGGGATCACTTTGATTCCAGTGGCCAGAGAGAGATCACTTTGACTCAGCTGGCCAGAGAGGGATCACTTTGACTCAGCTGGCCAGAGAGGGATCACTTTGACTCAGCTGGCCAGAGAGTGATCACTTTGATTTAGCTGGCAAGAGAGGAGTAACTGATTCCGGTGGCCAGAGAGGGATCACTTTGCTTCCAGTGGCCAGAGAGGGATCACTTTGATTCCGGTGGCCAGAGAGGGATCACTTTGATTCCAGTGGCCAGAGAGGGATCACTTTGATTCCGGTGGCCAGAGAGGGATCACGTTGATTCATCTGGCCAGAAAGGAATCACGTTGATTCATCTGGCCAGAGAGAGATCACTTTGATTCATCTGGCCAGAGAGGGATCACTTTGATTCATCTGGCCAGAGAGGGATCACTTTGATTCAGCTGGCCAGAGAGGGATCACTTTGATTCAGCTGGCCAGAGAGGGATCACTTTGATTCAGCTGGCCAGAGAGGGATCACTTTGATTCAGCTGGCCAGAGAGAGATCACTTTGATTCAGCTGGCCAGAGAGAGATCACTTTGATTCAGCTGGCCAGAGAGAGATCACTTTGATTCAGCTGGCCAGAGAGGGATCACTTTGACTCAACTGGCCAGAGAGGGATCACTTTAATTCCGGTGGCCAGAGAAGGATCACGTTGATTCATCTGGCCAGAGAGAGATCACTTTGATTCAGCTGGTCAGAGAGAGATCACTTTGATTCAGCTGGCCAGAGAGGGATCACTTTGATTCAGCTGGTCAGAGAGGGATCACTTTGATTCAGCTGGCCAGAGAGGGATCACTTTGACTCAACTGGCCAGAGAGGGATCACTGATTCAGCTGGCAAGAGAGTGATCACTTTGATTCATCTGGCCAGAGAGGGATTACTTTGACATAGGTGGCCAGAGAGGGATCACTTTGATTCCGGTGGCCAGAGAGGGATCACTTTGATTCAGCTGGCCAGAGAGGGATCACTTTGATTCCGGTGGCCAGAGAGGGATCACGTTGATTCAGCTGGCAAGAGAGGGATCACTTTGATTCCGGTGGCCAGAGAGGGATCACGTTGATTCAGCTGGCAAGAGAGGGATCACTTTGACTCAGCTGGCCAGAGAGGGATCACTTTGATTCAGCTGGCAGAGAGAGATCACTTTGATACATCTGGCCAGAGAGGGATCACTTTGATTCAGATGGCCAGAGAGGGATCACTTTGATTCAGATGGCCAGACAGGGATCACTTTGATTCAGCTGGCCGGAGAGGGATCACTTTGATACATCTGGCAAGAGAGGGATCACTTTGATTCAGCTGGCAAGAGAGGGATCACTTTGACTCAGCTGGCCAGAGAGGGATCACTTTGATTCAGCTGGCAAGAGAGGGATCACTTTGACTCAGCTGGCCAGAGAGGGATCACTTTGACTCAGCTGGCAAGAGAGGGATCACTTTGACTCAGCTGGCCAGAGAGGGATCACTTTGACTCAGCTGGCCAGCTTGAACACATAGTAGTATGAGCAAATAAGGGATCCATATTTTTTTTCAAGCAAAAAGTTTGTTACACATGTTTAGGGTTAACATGGGGTTACAACTCCTTCGTATCCCATGTATTGTATACAGCGGGGGCCGGCAACCCGTCAATCGTGGTCGATTGTGGGGAGCGGACAGGTTGATTGTGACCGCAGTTCTGCCTCCCCCATCCTCCGCCTCTCTCATGTTACAGGCAGAGCGCAAAGCAGGAGGCAGCATAGTGCTGGATGGAGGGCGGGGTTGGGGGTGGAAGATGCTCAGTGATTGGTTGCTAGGCTATCCTAGTAACCAATCACCAGCTTGGCAGCTCCTGATCTCGCCTTCTACCCAGCACTGTGTTGTCTTCTTATCTCCGCTCTGCTTTACACACACAGAGATAGGCAGTGCTGCCCATGTATGATATGGGGGGGACACAGGAGACAACTGTGGGAGGGGGGACAGAGTAAACTATGCTGGGGGGTATATTGATGAGAAAAGGACAGGGGACACCATTTTGGGGAATAGGGAGGCAGAGGACACTTGGGAGGGGGGGGGGGGTAAGGACACTACTGGGGAGGAAGGGGTAAGAGGATATAAAAGAGGGACGGGATGTGGTGTGAAGCAGGGCAAAGGAACCAGAATTGGGGGTACCGGACACTACTGTGTGTTCCCAATGTATCCGAGCCTGATTCCAGCCTTGTGTTCCCAGTGTGTCCCAGCCTGCTTCCAGCCTTGTGTTTCCAATGTGTTCCGGCCTTGTGTTTCCAATCTGTTCCGGCCTTGTGTTCCCAATGTGTTCCAGCCTTGTGTTTCCAATGTGTTCCAGACTAGTTACCAGCACCTGCGCACTCCCAGCCTGTGTGTCTCCTCTGTGGCTGCCTTATGATACCTTTGCTCTATCACTGCAAGGGAGTTGCACCTGTGTAGTCGCGGTCTGATGAGGTGAATCAGAGGGGCACAACCTGGGTATCAGCTAAAGATGCTCAGGTGAAGATGCTCAGGTGAAGACTCATCCCAGGGTTCTCATTATTGCTAAGCAAGCAGACACTCCAATAATCTGTCAGCCCTGTGGCTTTTGCCCCATCTACCCTGTTGCCTCAACCAGTCCCGGGCATCTACTCCATCCCAAGTGGAAGATGAGAGTCTGAAGTCATGACAGTAATAAGATTACATTCTAATAATCCCAATGTTGTTCTGTTAAATACTTTATTATACATTATGTAAGTCAATATCTCATGGAATGTATAATTGGTAATAAGAAGGTGGACTTGCCAGTAACATTTACAAGTCTTTATGAATAAATTCCTGATTTGTCTACATATGTGTCAATAGTATCATTATTCAGAAAAGCTCCACCTTTTATTGGTAAAACGCCATGGAGAATGGAGGTGAGTGGAGAGTCTACATTGCTCTAACTGAGCGCCATTATATCTGAATATCCTCCCCAGAAGCTACACTAATTATATGAAAGTCTTTGTTCCTCTTCAGGGCAATCTTATGAGGAAGATGCATATGTCAATCATCCCGTTTTATGGGAGACGAGGAATGCACCGAAAGCCAAAGGTAAGTTATTATATCCTCTTCATCCATTATAGACAGCTGAGGACCCGAGTCTCCAATTATAGGACGCATGTCTACTAATACTAATACTGCAATATTGGATCTATAAACCAGATCAGCCAATCAGATATCACCTCTTACTATATCTATATTGGGGTAATAAAAGCCAGATCTAATTGGTTGCCCTTATTTAATATACATTTCACACCTAAATATATTATACTGCACATGGCAATATATTTCTACATATATTGTGGGAAATTACCTCAAGTGCAGAGATCCTCAGGACTCCGTCCACTCAGAATATCTTCTTTGAAGGCCTCTTCCTGTCCGCTATTATTAACTTATTACTGGCCTCCTGGATTGTTTTTACAGAGCTGCTGCCCTGGCCTCAAACATTGACCCTCATCTAGTCCTCCAGACAGGACTCTCTGTGCACACATGCATTTCTGGCTGCTCCTTTACAGCCATATGCAGGGGTGTATCTGCCGCAAGGCCAACAAGGCGATTGCTT